CGCCGCGTTGAGGGACCATCGCCACTGTCACTTCCGGAACCTTAACTCCCGAAAATATGGTAGAATATAAAAAAGATATTTTCCGGTTGGCGCCGCCGGAAACTGTTTCAGGAAAAAACTGACTGAAACGACACCATCATGTTGGAACAGTGGCGGCGCAGTAACGTCTGTCTGTAATCTGTCGGTTGTGTCGATGTCGTGATTGATTGTGGCGGTGAATTACGTCGTCGTAATAGCAGTAGTTGGGGGGGGATAGTAGTAGTAGTAGTAGTAGTGGGAGAAAGAACGACCTGAAGGGGTAAGCACACGGTATTGCTGTTTTGTTACACGCACGTATGTATGTATGTATGTAGGTAGGTAGGCAGCTAGGTAGGTAGGTAGGTAGGTAGGTAGATACATGTAATGTTCTCTGACGGGGCTAACGGAGCGAGCTGCAACACGTGTGTGTGTATACATATATACATATATATGTGTGTATATATGTGTGTATGTGTGCATGGAGGCACACAAACAAACGTGTGTTGGTGGTTGCGGTGTGAAGTGCGTTGTGGGGAGGAGGAGCTCCCTCCGGGCTTCGAGGAGTGCTGATGGGGGAGACGACGTTGCGGGAGACGACGTTTCGGGAGACGAGGGGGGAGAGTAGCTCCACTCCTAGAGGGGGGAGGGGAGGTGGCGCTGATGGTGGCGACATGCGGGTCGGGGTGTTCGTGTTCGTGTTCGTGTTGTGAGTGGTGACGGCGGCCCTGGGGGCCCTGGGGGGTTTTGCGGCGGGTTAGGACGGTGAGGAGGGGACGTCAAGACATGGAAAAAACGCTTCATGACGTGATATGAGGACAAGGAGGCAGTAAAACGGTTTACTTCCGGGGAACAACACGCACGTCCGGTGATCCGTTCGGATTCATTGTAACGGTCGTACTCATTCATGTACGAGTTAAATAGTCTTCTTACTTTTAGGATGTGTAATGTGCTTGAGTGACGTTGCACATGGCTAATGTTGTCAGCTTAATTAGCGCAGACATACGGCGGCGTGTGTAATAGGTGAACTAGGTGATCCTTCTCCAAGTAAAACTGACAAAATGTCAGTCAACCCGAGATGTGGCCAAAGCCCTGAAAGCGATGTTCGGAACTGGCATGCGAGCCTTGTATGTGTACTGGTGTATATGATCAAGGGTTCATCGGTGCAAAGGGTATATACCGCTACAGGAAGTAGGAGGTCTGTAGCTGTAGCTTATGAGAGGTCCTGTATAACACAAGTTGGGGGGTTGGGGGCCATGTAGGTTGCACGGCATGAAAGTGCGTTGCAAGCATAATGATATGTAACGATAATATATGTAAAAATAATAATTCTGCTAATACCTGGAAGTGAAGGTCTATCCTCCCCCACCGCCACCTGAACAGTCGTTGGTGCATTGTTCCGCACCGTCCAGGGGGGAAGGGGGAACGGGGGGGAGGGTTAGTTTCAGTTGCGAACTTTCGTCCACCAGCACAAGAGGTGCGGATTAATGTAAATCCCCAATATTAGGGGAGAGATTACGCTCTGTCAGGCTGCAGATATCGCGGGGGTATCTCTTGCTAAGTCGGCTAAGGGTTTCTTGTCGGCCGGAACCTCCAGAGGCATTGGTGTGTGCGTTACCAGTAGCGCCTGAACTGATGTATGTATATCCTACGAACTAACAACCTTGGTGCACCAGTGCTTAGTATGTGGGTACACAGCCTGCCTGCGGTTTTCCGTTCCCCGCTGCCGTTTACGTCCGCGTACACAGCATGAGCCGTGACTCGCTTTCTGCACTGAGTACGAATCGGTGTTTCGGCCTGCCCAGCAATGTGAGTTATTAGCCACCATAAAAGTTACAAGTTGCAAGTTACAAGTTCCGCACACAAGTGCGGGTGTGTGTCCGTAAAAGCCGGGGGGGCCATGGACGTTGTATTGGTATTGATGCGGGTACGCGGGAGGTCATCCCTCGTCCGCTTCAGGGCGAAGCGCCTCAGCGCGACGTGCCTGGTCTCCCAAATTTCCGAGAGGTACCTGGCCAATGCCAGGGGTGGCGCCTCAGTCATAGTGGTGCGCATGCTGCGCCCCGTAAGGACTAGGTCACCATCATAAAAGGAACTCGGTCTCTGCACGCTGTGAGGTTGGAACTTGAAAGACACTCGGGAAAGATTTAGTGAAAGGTCGCCTTATCAAATCCCAGGCGAGTCAGCACGTTTTCGGCAGGGCAAACCCTAAGGCAAACATGCACATGTACGCGGATGTTCGGGTGACATGGTGATGAGGAGGGATCCTAGAGGTCAGGATCAACCGCATTGGACTTGCAGTTCATATGGCGTAGTACAGTGTGGTAATGGTGGATGGTGCTGTATGGTGTGATAAGTCGTAGAAATGACAATGTGTTCAAGTGGCCCAGAAGCCTCCCACTCTGTAACAACATTACGACGTTCATGTACAGCTTCACCAATCTCATCTTGACTCTGCTCCATTGGGTCACATCAGCTTTTTGGGGGATGGCTTTTCCCTTGCAGCTTACATCTGCTGCCTGTCGCGGCCTTTACGTGCGCCAAATGGCACTCTGCATACTCCAGCCGCAAGGTCCAGCAGCTTCTTAGCACAGCAATATCCTTGTGAATATGATTGCTCATTTGACCCATTTTACAGCTTTCCATGCCAGGCAGGCAAGGTGGGCATCCTCGGCCTTGGCAGCGGCGGTAGCATTCACTTTCCTGGGATGCGTGTGTGCAAGCCCGGGCGAAGATGATGATATACCCGGTGCGAGGCGGACAAATGCTGACGCCCCATAGCCGACCCATGGGGGTTCCCACTGCGGCCACTGGATAGGGGTATGAAGGCATGGCGGTATCTGAACTGGATGGGGGCACCTCCCAGCAGTGAGGGAGCATGGCTGGGATGGCTTCCTCACACCGGGGCTGTGTTGCCTATATAGGCCAATGCACCAGGTGCTCATGTGTTTCAGGTTGGGTTGTTGGGGGGACTGTGGATGTTAACTGCTCGGTCTGTGTCTGCTTGCAGGTGCTACATGGTGAGGTGGGGGGTTGCATGCCGGAGGCATCTCATAGCCTAATGTTCCTTGGTGGTAAGCTGCTTAGTGTGTCCCAGTAATGTATTTGCTCTGGCGCTGTTATTTGCTCTGCCCTGCATCGGCAAAGGTACCGCTCTGGGGCCTGGTGCGGGTGGACACGGGGGACGTGCCTGAGCAGAACTGGTTCGGGAGGCTGCTGCCGCCTGTGACCTCAGTGAAATGCTGCTGGTGGCTATCACCATCACCACTTTGACAATCGTGGCGGTGTGTCTCAAGGACGGCGACTTGCAGGGCCCACCGGGAATCTCCAGCGTCAGGTGCTGGCCAGCCATGTTGTGGCACAGCTAAACCCCTCTAGAGATCAGCTTGTGACTGCCCTGCCGTGGCGCTTGGAGGACCTGCCGGAGTACATTTAGGTGGTTTTCATGGAGGCGGGTATCAGCCGCGAGCACATGCAGGAACTGCTGCAGACGGCACACTTCCTCATCATTTGCAGCCCCATGGCTGAAATCGCCAATCGCATGGTTGAGGAGATTTCGAAAGAAGTAAACATGGGGGGGATTCCGGCATGGGAACATGTCTGTCGCGTCATACGACTGTAGCACCGAACAAAACACGTGCGTACGGTAGTCTGGTACATGCATGTTGGCGGTGATGGCCAGCGGCTGTGAGATGGCTATATTGAGCACAGCGGTGACATTGTTAGGGTTGGCCGGATTGGCTCGGGATGATTCGAACATCCGCAGGTGGCTGTTCTGGTTCTGGTGGGCAGCAGTAGGTGGTGGGCACCTCGATGCTCAGAATGGCAAGGAGGACGTGCGCGGATGTTGTTGGTATGTACGGCACACAGAACAACTACAAATACGCGCTAAGCGCGACCCGACCTGCATCTCGAGAGGCCTTTTCAGCGGCAGCCAGCTACTACAGAGGACGTGGGCGGATGTTGGTATGAAGGTCTGTGGCCAAAGTTGAGTCTTGGCGGCATGTAGCTGACGGTGGCGGTGATGAAGAGGAGGATGCTGTGTCGATGTGTTGATGTTGTTACAGGGTGGTTAAGCTTCACCAGTGGCCTCCTTCCCGAGGCAATTCCCTGCTCTCCCCTGCTAGAGGGGCACCCTAAGCCATGTGTTATAGGTAGGTACAGAAAAAATGGGGGGGGGGGTTTCAAAGGTACCTTTGTTGTGTGTGTAGCTAGATTGAGTTATGTAGCATGCATGCGGTGGCGACTGGTATAGGCAAGATTGACAGAACTTTGGGGTATGGTGTGAGATGAATGCATGCATGCATGCATGATGATTAGGGCAGGGTTGTCATCCACTCTGGGAATGACTTGGTCGTGGATGTCAGTCTTATGCTATACGGCGGGTGTACAGGGTACCCACATTCGTTGGTACATGACTGTGTAGGCTATGTAGGCTAAACCCATACATGCTAAACGATAGGCACCTCTTTCTTCGGGCACAGAGCCGTGGGCTCCCTTACTTATGTATGACACAATGACCCGCAAACTTCCTGTACAAGTCCTTCCCGGGAACTCACCGTACATATGTATATGGACACGTTGGATATTTATAAGCAATATTGCTCTTCGATTGCCATACGGGAGTTTGGTCTAGTGGTATGATTCTCGCTTTGGGTGCGAGAGGCCGTGGGTTCGATTCCCACAACTCCCCTTTTCCCTTACAAGACCTCTTAGATACCTCTCGATATCTCGGGACCTCTCCAGACGAGACCTTTTAATGACTATACAGACAGTAGGTGAATACGAATTGGGATCGGACAAAACCAGCACAGACGCCGCCTTGGCCGTTTTGGGGGGGCTTGATTCGGTTATTGCTCGCAGTAGGTATGCTATCTTTTGCCGCGGACAGCATGGGGACAGATCACTTTGGGTCTCTCCCCTTGGCTGGCGGCGGACGTTGGACGTGTTAATATATTTTCTGGCATCAGGAGTCGTGTCGTCTCGTGCAAGTTTGCTGGCTGAGGGTCGCGGGCCACACGTCAGCTAAAAACACCACAGCCATTCATGGTACAAGACGTCACCAACGGTCGAACAGGCGAAGCTGAGATTGTGATTGATGTGTTTTCACCTGCAGCACTGAACTCTCTTAATAAGCCTATTAACATCTCAGCCTATCTCATTCCATGACATTACAGTCATTGCGGAGTAAAATTATGCTCATACGGGGGCTCGAACCCCGGACCTGCGGCTTACTCGATGCATAAGACCACCGCTCTAACCGACTGAGCTATATGAGCACGTGTTCCAAAAGCTGCAAAATTATTTGACCTTAGCGCATTGGACACGTACATGCACGTACATGCTACCATGCACGGCAAGTTTTTGTTTTTGTGTATCCAACAACAAAACAACAATATCCAATGTCCGCCTCCTTTGCTTGTCTTCTCGCTTAAAGTCTCCGGCTATTCTGAAGCGGTGGCATGCAACGCTGCTGCCTTGCGGCAACCAAAATTTGTTTATCTGTCATGCCTGTCGAGTCTGCAACCAGCGAATTGTCTTGGTTGTTTCGCTTGACTTCCTGATATTTGCATCCTAGATCATGCATCACAAATAAATATATGTTACGTGCGTGGACCTGTGCCATGCGGTTGTGCAGCAATGGTACTCCAATCTCGGCCCAGGCAGCCTTATGTAAGACCAACAACAGGCCAGTATCGGGGAATTGGCATATAAATTTATTACATATGTGTTGCAGTCCATGAATTGCACAATTGACGTGGACCTTAAAAAGCGAGGTCGAACGCAAGCTACAAGCTACCTGTTCATGCCGATAGTCGTAACATTCTTTGCCAAAACATAACCATTGAACATCGAGCATCTTTGTTATAGAATTTGTAGAGATGGACATGATTACTGCAAAACGCGACTAGGATGAGTAAAGCTCCGTGCAAAATCGTGGCGCATGCGGTCCTTGGAAGGAGCAAACCTGGCACACTGTTACTATGCGTAAAATAATTTTCTATCGCGCATATGTTAGATTTATCTCTGAGCCATCGGTTAAAAAAAAGGTTCACGATTCAGTCAGAAGCCGCGCGGGCTGCAGTGACCTCCGTCCCACATCGCCGAAATGCGGCACCTTTCCATCTCATAGCCGCAAAATTCTTCCACTGTACCATCGCAAGCTTACATCCCCGCACAAACAGTGTCTGGGATACCGACTAACAAAACTGCATAATCGGCAACATTTGCGTGGCCTGCTGCTGTCGCCGCACCAAGCTGCAACGTCTCTGTATTCATGAAAGATCAAACAAAATTCTCTAAATTTATTCATGTTCACACATTGCAAGAGTGCCGGAACCATGACGAGCTGCAGGCGGGGCCGCCGCTCCAGACCGCCACCATGACCCAGTTCGAGTGCACAGTCACCGAAATCGCTGGAGCACGCTGCTTAGTAACTCGCGAGCCTTTCAGCTGCTTCGCGCCGAACGGCACGCCGCTGCTGATCTGCGCGCCTGTGCCTCCGGACTCGTTGCCCACAAAGGTACCGCCTGCACCTCCCGCACGAACCCCGCCTGCAGCAGCAGCAGCAGCAGCAGCAGCAGCAGCAGCAGCAGCAGCAGTATCTGAAGCCAGCCCTGGAGTCCAATTACGACCCTCCCTTCCCATCGTCTGCGCTGCCGCCGTCAACCGTGATAAAAATGCCGGTGGCGACGGCAGCGGCTGCAACCAACACAACGACAACGACAACGGTAATGTAATGCCTGGCGGAGGCGGCGGCCGCGACGGCAGCCGAGGAAGTGGTGGACACAATAGCATGCGCCGCTCGACCCGAATTAGCGGTTTACGGGCCGATGATACCGCCGGCAGTGCGGCCTCCAGGGCCGTAAGCGGCAGAGGCCGATTCGCCGCCGCTACCGCCGCCAACATCATCAATTCTACTGCTGGCGCCGGCGGGCGCGCCCGGGGCCGGGGCCGGGGCCGGCAACGCCGTACCGCAACGCCCGCCGGTGGATCTACCGACGGCGTCGAGGGCGTCGATGGCGGCGCATTGCCGCCGCCGCCGCCGCAGCAACCCACGAAGCCGGGTGACGGCGGCAGCGGCGGCGGAGCCACCACTACAAATGCCCAGCCTGAGATCGCGACTGACACGGCGGCGTCCGAGGAACAAGAGCTTCGAGAAGCTCCGCCGCTGTTCTACCTGGCTTCTTTTCTGACGAATGACGCTGCAATCTATGCGACGGCAGCGCGCTGTAGCTGTAGCAGCGGCGGCGGCGGCGGACCCCGGTTGCCGCCGAGCCACCCGGCAGTCCGCCGCGCACTGCTGGGGTTGTGCGGCGTGTTGGCAGACGAGGCGGGTGTATTTGGAGCCACCAGCCGCCGGCGGACGTCTGAGCGGCTATGGGGGGCGCTGACGTCGACCGCCGCCGCCGCCGGCGTCTGCCTGCCAACGGCGGCGGAGTGGGCTTCGGCCGTGGGAATGCCGCTAGCCCTGCCGCCACCGCCACCGCCACCACCACCACCACCACCACAGCCACCGCCACCGCCACCACCGCCGCCGCCGCCGCCACCGGCCCAGCAGCAGCAGGAGCAGCAGCAGGAGCAGCAGCACCTCCCAGACGATGTACGGCGGCAGCAACGGGCGGAAAGAAGGCAGCGGGAGGGTGAGGACGACGAGGAAAATGTAGACGAGCAGGAGGAGGAGGAGGAAGAGGACAGAACCGTTTTCAAACGGGCACGTACCGACCGCTGTAATGATAGCGGGGATCCAACAACGAGCACTCTCGGCGATTCACCGCCTCCTCACGACCGCAGACGCCGCCGCCGCCGCCGCCGTCCTCCTCCTCCTCCCCTTCCTCCCCTTCCTCCCCCTGCCGGTACGGAACCCGCCCTGGAGCCGAACGTTACTAATGCCATGATGGCCCCGGCGTCTTCAGGCGCAACAGCCAACACAACCGCGGCCCCCACTGATGGCGCTGCCGCCTTCGCCACCTGTGCTCCAGTCACTGGTGGCGTCAGCGCCGTCGATAGGCCCGTCGACGTCACCGCAAACGCCGTTGCTGACGCGGCCGGTGCCGTAACGGCCGTCGGCGGTGGAAGCGGAGGTGGAGGCGGCGGCGTCCTCCCTGAAGTGGACGACACCCCGCAGGTCGGAGGCCTTATCGTCGACGTGCTGAGAGGTAAGTCCGTAGCCGCCGCTGCCGCCGCTACAGCCGCCACCGACGTCGATGTCGACGCGCCATGGCCTGCTACAGCCGATGTCAAGGCTGACGCCGCCGGCGTCATCACCCACGACGGAGCCGACGCCGTTGCCGCCGCGGCGGCCAACGCGGCCGCCACCGTTGCCGTCAGCCCCGCCGCTGCCCCTCAGAAACGGTACATCAGGGAGACCTCGGAGATTACTCTGGAAGTTGGACCCACCATCAGTTGTTGGGTGAGGCAAAGCCAGGGACCCGAGCGATTGGCGGCGGCGGCGACGGCATCGGCGGCAGAAACCAAGGGACTGTACGACTTCTCCAGCAACGGCGTTGCCGTGAACTCGTTTGACCCGACTTTGGGTAAGCCCGATAATGGCGACGGCGGCGGCGCTGGCGAGAGCTCGTACGACAGCGAGGACGGCGCGTCGTTGCCGTCGGCGTCGCAGATCGAGGCGATAGTCCAACAGGCCAACCGGATCTGCGAACCGCTTGACGCCGACGGCGCCGCCGCCGCCGCCACAACCGCCGCCGCCGTCGTCGTGGCAGCTGCAACGGCAGCGGCCTCGGTGCCTAATTCGGTCATGGCCGACAGAGACGCCGTCGGCGGCGTCGGCTGTGGGTACGACAGTGACGAAGACATGCTAATGTTGTCGGCGTCTCAGATTGAGGCTCTAGTAGCAAAATATAGTTAGTCGTTAGGCGTATGTAGGACGTATTTCATGCAGTTCTCCGTACATGCAGATTGGGCTTCCGATGCTCGTGGTACGGCTTTGCAAATAAAGCCCCATGCGTGTGTAGACGATTGTATCATATCATTGCGTACGAAACGTCCGTACGATATGTGTATCGTGCGGCAAAAATACAGCGCTGTAAAAGAAAACATTTTCTTGTTTGTGGGCGGCTTGGCGGTTTGAGAAAACGGTGGTGGTTGGCGGTGGCGGCGGCGGCTGATTGGCGGCGGAAGAAGCAACAGGAAATTTAGGCCCGATAAACGTCGACATACATACATACGTACATACATGCATACATATGCACAAATACACAGGCGGACAGATACGCTCCCTAAATCCGAACATAACTACTATTCTATTCATTCACCCTTTCGGGGAGACCGACATGCACGATGTTGTACAGCGGCTGCACGGACCCCTTAGCATTGTTAGCGGCAATCAGTTTGGTGCTGTAACCGAATGTAACCATTCGGTACCGGAAACCGTTAATAACCACCGCGCGTCTCCATCCATGGCGCCATGCGTATGCCGTACACCTGGTGGCGGTGGCGGTTTGTATTGGTAGTAGTAGTAGTAGTGGTGGTAAAAGGGAAAATAAAAAAATCTGTTACTCGCAAAGCCGCCGAGAGTGCAGGTTGCCCCTCCTGCCCGGCGCTGTACTTGTCTAGCGATGGTTTCGTTCAACGACGGATCTGTTCAGCCACTTTGAACGAGTGGGGTTTTCACACAAAATCGAGGATCACATAATATCAGTGACGTACTGCAGCAGCTTTGAACGTCGCTTGTAAGTTGTTTTTTCTTGGAACAAACAGAAAAGAAGGAAAAAGTTCTGTGATGGCTCGTGTAAACAGGCCTGGATAATTCAAATCAGGTTGGCGCGCGCGCGCGCTCGTTCCTCTCTCGCAATTTTCTATTTCCACCAGAGCAGTCAACAAGAGAGGTTCAACACCTGGTCAGGAAACAATCCAAACAATTCTACTAGGTACGCGCGGAAATAGTTTGCAAGGCTAGAACCACAAAAAGGTATCGAAGCTGGGTTATTTCAGTCCGAGGTGGCGGGGCAAGGTGTCAAGACGGGAGCTTGCCTGGTGTGGCTGTGGCTCGCCCGTGTGAAAGTTACAAATATCTATCTGACCGGGCCTGCCACTGGCCAGGGGCTGCTGCCCAGCCCCAACGGAAAGACCGCGTAAGCTTTCTCTCTCCCGCGGACGGGAGAGGGGCGCTAGAGGGGCCTCTGTCCCCTCCTAAGCAACCAGCTGCTGGGCCGCTAGTTCCCGCTCTCCTCCCCGGGGGATGGGAAGCGTAGGCGTCGCACGCGCGCACGCTCTCACGAGCCAAGAGGCTCCGTCACGCGGGTTTGCGTTCACTGAGCCTCTAAAACACACAACAAGACTCCCCTCTCCCTCCCCGGCCTGATCCGCTGCACCTATCGAGCGCACGCGATGGGGCCCGGGCACGGACTAGGCAAGCAGCTATCAGTTCACCGAGACGGGGCTAGGGATGCCTCGAGACAGCACCGCACCGGCACAACTCACACACAGCGTCACCCAGTCTGCTCTACGAACCCAGCCCATTGCCAGTCGAACTGGAGAGTAGGACGTGTAAGTGATATGGGTGAGACGGATCAGAAGGCAAGGAGGGAAGTCTTGCTGGACCAGTTGGCCTGGATGGGCTGCTGGAGTTGCGGAGTGTGTGGCGGAAGCTGAGCTATAGCCCAAGGAAAGAGCGAGGGAACCGCGCGGCCAGGTATCAAAGCAGCACGAGCACAAGCAGCGTGCGCCGCAGCGTGCACGCACACCGTAACCCCTATGGCATAAAAGTGTTGGGTACCGACCGTTCAGTTATAACCCAACCGACATTTCGAAATAACGATCGGTAACCTTATCGATGGGTGACCTCCCAGTCAGACATCGGCAAACGCTTCGGGAGTTTCGGGTCGCACCGAAACTCCCGAAAAACAGAAATAGAGTTCCCGAAGCCGGTCGGCTTGCAGATATAGGATCATACGCCGTATACGAAAAGTGTTATGCGGCCCGATTAGTGAAAAAACGCATTTTCATTCCGTGGCCTTGTAACGGAAATTGTACTGGAGGATAGAAATAGACCCGTTCCCGAAACCAGAAATACCCCGTTTGCCGATGTCTGCTCCCAGTTACTGGGTCTTTAGCTCGTTATGTCGGTTATCCTACCGGCCAAGTACCGGAACGACCAGTTACTGAACGGTTTGGTAGGGTTACCGACCGGTGACAATCAAATATAGTCCGGATGGTCTTCATAAAGGAATTTGGCGACAAATGCAGAGGAGCAAGTGCCCCCCAGCCATCGACCAGCAGCTTGTCACCAGGCTTGCAGCGGCATGCACAACAACCGGCTTTATAATATAATAGTGTTTGTATTTCTAGTTGGTTTTCCCAGGATGCGAGCTTCAGCGCGAACACCACAAAGTTCTCTAGCGTATTTTCCATTGAAAGCAGGTTGCAAACACAAAATTGTATCGTTTTTCAATATTTTAAGTAGCCTTTCATTTTAGGAGTACTACTGGGACGAGTCGCGTATGAATGGCTAAGTGAGCTGAAATGACGAGCATTGGATCCTAAAACTGCTTTTGAACTGGTTGTGGTCCAAATTTTGAAATTTACCCATGTACAATTAAAATCAAACCTAGAGAAGTATACATGGGCAGTCTTGCTGTACCGATGGAACGTACTGGACCTGCGACCCGATCAGGAGTGAAGATCACGCCGCCGTTGACACCGTGGGCGGCTCGTTCCGATAAAGATCGAGCACTGGGGGCCCTGACCGGACCGAAACACAGCGCAGGGCGCGCGGCTCCACGTACGTCTGTTCCTCCGCGCACACCTCACTCCCTCACTCACGTCAGCAGGGACACGCCAGCCGGGGTACGGGTTGTTGTTGTTGTTGCTGAATTCGATAAATGTCATAAACTTCGCACGCGCCAGCTGAAGGGTGCGAAGGTTGACAGAATTCTCCCAAAACTTCGGCGGCAGGGAGTGCCAGGGTAAAGCTATTTGCCCCCGTACTTCACCCGCCCATATACACACATACAAACACACACGCCACCCTCGCCACCATGTCCTTCCCGCGGCGACTCAGATCATAAAACACACTCAAAAGTGATTCCCCCCTTTCCGCCGCCACTTCATTTCCCGTAATCCCCTCTTTTCCCTCTTTTGGGATTTAATTTTTAAACCGCACTTAAAACCTCTAAAACCCAATGTGGGGTTATATACACACATACAGACACAACCAAACACACTTTCCAAGCCACACTGTGCCTACTACCTCCCGCGACCCTGCGGCGCTTTGCTCTGTGCTCTTGTTGCAACGCTGATGAACCCGTGATATGACAGCGCCAGTAAACAGCATTACCTTAAGTCAACCGACAGCAGTGGCAGTAGCAGCAGCAGTAGCAGTAGCAGTAGCGGCGGACAGACGATGCCTACCCTCTCACTACCAACCCCCCAAGTACTTTTGTTTACTCCTTTTTAAGCCTTTTTTTATTCATCTCAGCCACCTCAGCTCCTTTTCATCTCGTTCATTACGTGCGACCGCCGCCGCCAGTACGGCCGCTACTGCCGCCGTCACTACCGCCGCCGTCACTACCGCCGTCACTACCGCCGTCACTACCGCCGTCACTACCGCCGCCGTCACTACCGCCGTCACTACCGCCGTCACTACCGCCGTCACTACCGCCGCCGTCACTACCGTTGCACACACCACCGTGGGACACTGCGACCTCTTGCAGTCCATTTCATGGCTCAGTCTATCGCCACCACCACCACCAGGGCGACCACACCAATCTCCGAATCAGGCGGTGACGTCTACAGGCTGTAGCAGCAGCACCCCGCAGTAATGCGATCATTCCCCTCATCCAGAGAGGAAAAACAACAACACCGGTGATTGTTATCGTTGCTACCGAGGGCCCTAGGGGGGCTGCTTCACTTACTACCCGCCCAGACTTCGTCTCGGTAGCGGAACGACGACATCGGCGGCGGCGGCGGCGGCTGTAGCAGCGATGCGGCGTTCCGCCGCAGCGCCCAGCCCTGCGGCGCCGCCGTCCGCCCTCCCGCCTGTTGCCGGATCCCCGCACTGCCCGTCGACCGTCGTTGGTTTCGGAGCTCCTCACTTCGCAGCTTGAGCAACTTGATGGCGGAGGCGGTACGGCCGTCCACTCGGACCTCCGCCAGGGCCGCCGCCGCCGCCAGGACCTGACGGAGGATATACATACATACTTATATATACATAGGTACATACACTTTCCGTACATACGTACGACGTACATAGCATATATGTGTACGGACATGCAGATTTACTATTTACAAATGCAGGGGGGCCCCCCGTCCGTGTGCATGTGTATACATGTGTGTGTATGTGGAGGCCCGGGCATTGCCGGTCAGTATAGCCATTATTGTGTGTATCTCCGGCTGAGGACGTGGACGTGGACGTCCCCGCGTCTTCGCCCCTCCTCCCCCCCCCCCGGGCTCAGCGCGCCTGAGCGCCACGCGGCGCTGTGCGGGTGCGGCTGCTCTCCCAGACCTCCAGAGGAAAGGGAGCCACAGCTATAGCCACAGCTATAGCCACAGCTATAGCCACAGCTAGCTATAGCCACAGCTATAGCCACAGCTAGCTATAGCCACAGCTAGCTATAGCCACAGCTATAGCCACAGCTAGCTATAGCCACAGCTAGCTATAGCCACAGCTATAGCCACAGCTAGCTATAGCAAGCTAAGGGGGGAAAAGACGAAACACACACGATTGAAGCTGCTGCCCCAAGCTAAGGGGGGGAGCGGGTGGAGGGGCTCATTCATAATGGTGCGCACTAGTAGCACGTAGAATGCTAGTAAACTAGTAAAACATTACACATAAACAATACAGAGATTATCTCTATAATGTTAGTGTATACTGTTCCGCTTGTGCTTTCCTTCGTACCAAGTCATCATTTTCATTACTTTTTAACTTATTTTCTTTATTTTAATGAAGTGCAGGACATTATCACGTGGCTGGGTTTCCTATGCGGATAGCACAAACGCACTGACTGCATGGATGTCGACACTACAAACACACAGACAAACGTACAGACAGATATGCAGAAAGTTTGACCCCCCGTTCCCCCCTTGCCCCTCTCCCACCTCGTCGCTGATATCCGCCAGCCCCAGCCCAGCCCGCACGTCCTCCTCCGCGAGCTCCAGAGCTCGCTCCGAAACCGCCAACAACCCGCCTAGATCTCCCGAGTCAACAGCCTGGGTTAAGGGGAGGGGGTAGGGGAGGGGGGTTGTGTGCGTATGTGTGCATGTATGTATGTGTGTGGGGAAAAGAAAAGTGTGTGTATGCGGGGTTGTGTTTGGCTGGGTGGAGTGAGGGGAAAATGAAGGAAATGCGGGCGGAAAGCGACCGGCGACGGCGGCGGCGGGGAATATATATTCGTGTTCATTTTGCCCCGGAGCCATATGCAGCGGGTTTGTGTTTCCGTACATTTACCCTGTCCATCCCCCCGTCCTCACCCCTCCTCACCCCCTCCTCACCTGCCTCAGCTGCACCTCCCAAAAGGGCCCTGTGGGCACCAGCCCCTCCTCCAACATCATTTCCAACAAACCCGGGACACGGTCGGGCTGTGTGTGTATGTGTGTATGTACGTGTGTCAGGAGTAGGAGGGGAACGAAAGGGGGGGGGAAAAAGAGAACGGTGGGGAGGGGAAATGAGCGGTGGGTTGCGAAGGTTTGAGAGGAAGCTCACGGGCAATGACGACAATAAAATTCACCAAAAACGACGCGCGCACATACATACACGTGTTTCATTTCAACACACAGACACACAAACACATTTCCCCCGTAATACGGTATACGACACAACAAATGCCTTCCGTCGCATCATGGAGCAAAAGCGCAGAGGGGATCTGTGTCCGTGTAACGTACACAGTCCCACGCGGAGTTCCATATACATACATACATACATACTTACATACATACATACATACATACTTACATACATATATACCTACCTACCTACGTACATACATACATACACACAGCCTCCCTGGCATTCCCCCATACCCCAACCACCCCATCCCGCACCTTGCCCCCACGCAAGCTGGCCTCCACTACCGCCGCGTACGAATCCGCTCCGGGACCACAATGAAGCTCACGCATCTGCCGTACAATGGCAGAGACGGACGCCATATCGGCGGAGGCAGCGGCGGCGCGCAGCGGCGGGCCGAACGGTACGGAAGAGCCGCCAAATGGCGCCGCGTCGCCGGCGGCGGCGGCGTCGCTGATACGCCGCAGCAACTGCAGCATTCAGACAAACGCAACATTCGCGGTTGGCAGTTAGGGTAGTAGTTAGCGGTTAAATAGCCCCCGGGGGCTAGGAAAGCAAACCACTCCAATGGTCGGTGGAGGGTAGCATAAAAAGGAACATCATAACATCATATGCTATATATATAGCATATATATAGCATATATAGCATATATAGCATCACCCTAATTTTAAACGAAACCTACGTCCTAACCTTATGGCGCTTCTTCTTTCTCGTTGCATAATAACTGCTATCCAAGTCTGCACGACATACAGCCACCTTCATAACCGTGCAGTACGGTTGTTCTACAGTTTCCAACTACCAACCGTCAACCCACCTCGGTGTAGTACGACACCGTATCCTCCTCGCTGCTGATGAGCGCCTTTGACACCGCCCTTATACACGTGTGTGTTTGTGTGTGTTTTTGTGGAGGGAAAGGAGGGGAGAGGGGGAAAGAAGGGGGAAGAGAAAGAGGGCGGATTTTAAACAACAGACAAGACAAAAGGAGATTCAAACAAACCAGCAACATCCAAGGTTTCAACCCTGGCCACCCCCCCCCACTCAATCCCCCTGTCCCTCCTCCCCCCACTCACCCCAATCCGCCGTACGCCGACGTAAGGCCCTCCAAGAGTCGTACGTCTTCCATCAGCAGTCTCCCAACCCGGCCCCCGCTTCGGGTGACCAGAGACTGTTGTGTCACCGTGTGTATGTGCGTGTGTTGACGTCCGTACGTATATATGTATATATGTGCGTGTACGCGTGAGACGAGAAAATGCGAAAATGGGAAGGGTGGGAAGGGGGAGGTGGGTATGACAGGCGGGGAAATGCATACGAAAAATGGATCCCGGGCATCAACTCTGGATTCGGGATTGCGAGGATCGGGAGAGGAGGTAAAATGTACGGCGCACGGGGTCCCAAATCATACACGTGATGGGTCGATAAAAGATACCGCGCCTGACCCCCTGGCCCCCCCTTCCCCCCTTCCCCCCACACATATACATACATGCACACGAAAAATCCATCCACATGTACCCAAACCATGTGTCGTACTGTCGTACTCGCCTGCAACTCCGCCAGCGCAGTCACGTGATCCAAGACCCCCGACCAGTCGCGACGCGACAGCGCCAGCGACAAAAGCTCCAACGTGGCGCCCGGAGGTGCTGCAGTTCCGTTGCGAACAGTATGCCGTACATGTGTAGTACGACATCGGTAACCGCAATGTTAGATGAGCGGGGTGGACAGGGAACAGGCAATTCGGGAGATCCGGGGGAGGACAGGGCGTGGGCGTGGGGGGGGGCGTTGGAATTGGGTTTTGCCGTACATTTACGAATGACAGAGCAAAACACACATTCCCTCCACCCGTACGACTACCCCACACGGGGCGAACCCTATCTTCAAAATGTCCCGGTGCCAGCGCTACACATACATACCTGGGCATACCTCCGCCGCTTCCAGTACGGCAGCGGTGCCGTACGCGGCGGATGGATTTGCCGCCGCCGCCACCGCCGTCGTGGCCAACTGCTCCCCCTCCTCCTCCTCCTCCTCCTCCACACGTCCTGCTCCTTCTCCTTCTTCGCCGCCGGCAGCCCCGCCGCCGCCGCCGTCGCCCTTCCGCTTCTCTTCCGACTCCACGGCTGCGGGAGCTGCGGAGTCTGCCGCCGCCGCCGCCGCCGCCGCCGCCGCCGCCGCGGAGTCCTTTGTCGTACTGGCCTTGTCGGCTTTGTCGGCCTTGGCCGCCGCAGCCGCAGCCGCCGCGGCGACGGCGGGGTGCTCTCGCCAAAATAGGTTCCGAAGTCTGTCGTACGACTGCAACGGTCGGCGACGGTCACGGCAGCGCGACGACGACGACGACGATAACGACGAGGAATATGAAGCGATAGGGCGACGTGGGCTCACAAAAACAAAAACACTCAATGGCACCCCCCCAGGGGTCAACTCACAGTTCCTCAGACAGTGGGATATCCATTTTGCCCCCCCCCAAGCCCCCCAAAGCCCCCAAAGCCTCAAAGTCTTGTGAAAAGGGAGCAAATAAGGAAGGACGGGCGGAGGGGGTTAAAGGGCGGAGGAGCGGAGGATCTGGGATACCGAAACGATGGCGAGCCCGTTCCACTGACGTCCCGTTTTTTCCCCGCCCGGGAAACAGGACGTGTGCGTGCCTGTGTATTGCGTGCGTGTCTCTCCCCCCGCCCCTAACCCCCATCATGATAACCATTTCCCCCTTTCCTTTGGACGTGTCGGCAATTTTCAGTTTGACTTTTGGAACTGGACCCCCCACCTCCGCCCTCACTCTCACCCCCCAACCCCCCTCACACACACCCACACACCACCCGTGTAACATCATTCAGGATTTGCCGAAGTACATTCCTCAAACCCTGAACATCCCACCCAACCCCACAACCACTCATACATACATACATACATACGCACCTTCCTCGCGAGCTGCTCGTCCCCCTGATCCAACCCCACGTGCACCAACTGCCGCAACGACCTCAACTCCTGATCCAACCGCCTCTCCGCCTCAAGCTCCTGCCGACGTCGCTGCTGTGGACTTCCAGGATTCTGCTGCCGTACAGGCCCCCGCTGCCGCTGCTGCTGTCCTCTGGCCTCCAGTTCCTGTGCAGCGTTTGCGTATGTATGTCTGAAATAGGGGGGTATATCTCGGGTCCAGCATGTGTGTGTATGTATGCATGTATGTATGTATGACTTAGATTACACTGTGGGCCGCGAGAGCCGGGGGCCGAAGCCGAAACACAGCGCAAGGGTCGGGAGCACACAGCACAAGTCGGTTAGTCTTGTGTGCTCCCGACCCCGACTCAGACTGCCAACACTCTACGCAGCCACTCCGCAGCCCCTCCATCCGGGGATGGCGCTGCAGTGAAAACACCACGAAGGGCTCTCAGGTCCCGCTAGAGCGAGTCCACAAGTCTCAGCTAGGGCAAAGTCAAAGGCTCTCTGAAACAACCCCCCAAAACACCACCAACGAAAACGGGATCCTAAGGGAGGAAAACAAACAAACAAACACAAATTCGGTTAGGGCAGTCCCGGCAGGGGAGGGCTCCTGATATACCTAACAGGCCAACAAAAACACCTCCAAGAGAGAAAGGCTAAGAGAGCTCGACACCACAAGACGTCTTGCAACCACCTTAAAACAACTGACCTCCACCACCTGTCCCTTCCTGGGCTGGTC